ATTATTATTGTTATTTTGGTTCTTTGGATTGAAACCATGTCACATTGTGCTACAAAAATGTGTTCCATTCCTGTGCTAAATTCTGATAACTAATTTTCTGACCAGCCAGCACATTAAAAAATATGAGAAATCATGTCTGTATGTGTTATGGCAGACTCATTTTTAAACTAGAATTATTTATTGCATTTATTCCTCAAATATTAAGACTGTTATAATGTGTTTATATGACAGTCTTTTGAGTCCTGTCAATTCTGCCTGCTCTCGAAACACAGATTGCTGTGGATGATCATATCTATCTTTATGCTTTCTCATATTTTTTTAGATGCAGAACCTGTATCTTTGTCCAATGGTGAAAAGAGAAAGGTAATGTCCACTAAAACAGAGGAAGCAGGATTAGAAGATGTGCCACAGTCCCAGATGGGTATGAAAAAACAATCATGTTGATATTACCTGTTATTCTAAATGCATACATCTGATCAAATTAGTTAAGAAGAAAAAATACTGATAAAAAACAAAGTATACCTTGTCCTGGATCTTGAGGTACAGGATACTTAGTTATAATAAAATGAATTAAATAATTCATAGGTCACTGGACATATGTGCTGCCATCTGACTACTTCAGCTTTGACATTGAAATTTTCCAGATACCTCCTTCCTTCTCTGAATACAGATCTCTGTGGTCTCCAGCATTCTGTGTCTTCACATTTGTATATATACCCTTGCCGAATTATTTGTAATGATCACAAAGGTGTTCTTACCATTTGAGACTTAAGAACAAGACTTATTTACTAAAGATATATTGTCAATATTCATTTAGAACCTTTCAGTTTTGTGATCAACAAAAATCCCAAACTTAAAACTGCAAAGATAATGTAATCTTTATCAATGCTAACAAAAATAGTTATCACTTGGACTTAGCTCTGTACTCACTTAGTAGGAATATGAGTGTGTTTTTTATATATACAGGTTTATTGATTATGTATTTCATTTGCTTTTCAGTATCTAAAGATGTACATGCTTCATACAAGGTAAATCATCTTCTATGTTTATGTTGTATTATTAAATGCATGCTGTATGCACTGTAAAGTATTTACATGTTATCTTGTCTCCAAGAACATCAAGCCTACCATTAAAAGCAAAGATACAGCTCTCAAAAAACAAAAATGGTGGAAGCGAGAAAAGAAACAAATATCAGGTAACTTTTGCAGTACAACTTCTATAAAACCACCTATGATTAAACCTTGGAAATGATAGCAAATTTTTCACTCCTCATATATCTATTTGTGCCATGTGTTGGGAGGATTTGCCCCATTAGGTCTGTGTTGATGATGCATCCACATTTCAAAATATTTCTGTTAGTCTATGAGGAAAAGATGTTTTAAAATAACCTATATCCTAGATGTTTCTACAATTAAACTTCCCAAATCGGAGTCATGACACCTGTCAGTTGGATCTTGAGGCTGCAGTTTCTTCCCAACCCAATTTCAAAAATAGGTCCAGGGGAGCAGGACTGAAATCCAGAATCCTGAGATTTTGAGAACTTGTATTTTTCTTGAAGCCAAGATGTCAAGGCCAGCCTGTGAAATATAGGAAAATCTAATTTAAAAGACAATGTGCACTCTACCCTGACATCTAGTGTATCAACCAAATGCATCCAACTTGTTTTTATGCTACTTAGGTACTGACTTTGACAACTCTTGGGGTCAGTTTGAGGCAAGAAATAATAAAATGTATGATCATATATACTTTAGTTTATCCGTTGCTTCTAAAGTGAACATTTGCTGGTGAACATTGTTTCCTGAAATTTTATCTCAGAGTAATCAATCCATAAATTCTTCCACATCCCAAAGGAGTCTTTGCTCATTATTCTTTGACTTGTTGTTTGTGTGTCAACTCTGCATGGTGAAAACAGAACCCAGATCCTTTGGAAGACATTCCTTCATTCAGGCCTGCATCAACCTCATAGTGCACTTTTGCATTCTCTTTATTCATCTCCATTCATGATCATGCCCCTCAAGCTCATGTGCCCATAGATTTGAGATAGTTCCAGCTATATATGGATCCATGGCCTAGATGAAAGTATATGCTATGTGTATGTTCAACCATCTCAACATTTTGAGGCATCTTTCACAATGCAAATTCTTCCTAACTGTATGTTTAGCCCGTTTATACCGGCATGCTCTTCTGGCAGTTTTCACCAATCCCTATATCATCAGACATATACCGTCCCCCTTAACCCTTGTCTCTATGTCATGGTATAACCTTCCACATTTTCACCATTCTCTGCCTTTGGCTGATGGCCTCATTCCTCAAGTCTCCATTCATTTCTACCTCTACAAAGACACCATCTATGCCAAGTGTTATTGCCTCAGATATTTACCTGACACTCAATTATGGGGTGTTCAAACAAGTGGGTTGTCAAAGCATCTTCTGAAGTCCAGGACCTAGTGAACTAGACAGAGAAAGAATAACTTAAAGGCCAACTGATTATTACTGAGTACAATAGTGGGTCATTGTCTAATGTAGCTAAAGACAAAAAAGCAAAAAGAGTTTATGTCAGGAATAATAGGCACCATGAGTAATGCTTCCAAAAACAGAGTGAATCCTAACAGAAGAAATGCAGGAAAAGGAAAGGAAAGGTATATGTGGTTCACTGTCAAAGGTATCACAGTGATCATATATACATATACGTTTTTGTTGACATCAAAGTTACATGCAGTGGTACATTAAAAATTACTATTAGGAAAAAGACATAGTAAACAGTGTGAAATTTCTTCTTTCCATTGTAATTTTAGCATTTTTTTTTCTGCAAAATATTATTTTTCTCATAGTGGTTGAATCTTTGAGATACCATGTGCATTGAATATGGTGAACTCTTCTTTTCTTCAAGCATCAGATTAGTAAAAATCCCTGCTAAATCAGTCAATACACCATTGGTAATTTCAGCTTATTTAGAGACTGAGTCCGGCTGATGTCAGGTTCCCAGTAAGCCAGGGAATATTCAGACACTCTGTCTTCAAAAATAAATACATAAATAAATAAAAATAATGGCCTTTTATTTGAAGTAAGTACTTGCATTCTTGCCAAAGATACACTTGGTGGCTCTGGGTACCGCCACCAAGCTCACACAAGAATCCAAAAATTTCCAACAGCATAAACATTCAACTAAAATTAAACTTAAGTAAAATGTATCATTGTGAAAATCAAATTATATGATTATTACAAATATGTTTTTAGTTGGCTAGATTTTCACTCGGTCTAACTCTATTAAGTAGTTTAAGTACATCTATGCATTTATCTTCAGATTCACAATGCCATATGTCATCAGAGAAATTGAAGGAGAGTGTTGATGGCATGGAAAAAAGCCATGGACAGGTAAGTAAATGTGTCTATTTTAATTCATGGTCTATTTCTGTTCTTTGATGGCACGGAAAATTATGCCAAACAAAATGACATCACACAATACATACTTAAAAATCAAGATCATAATTTAATATTTAAGTCTAAAAATATAACACAACATTAACATGAAAAATAGTTTTAGAAATCATGTAAGCAGAAGCTTAAAAGTAAACTTCATCTTACTAATGTGGGGAGATTTTTTGAGTGTTCTTTCAATATTTTTCTGTGTGACCTCCTCAAATAATGAGGATTAAATCTAAGACTCAGAGAGATCCAGTTGAAAGTTGGAGAGTACATAAATAAAATGGCCAGTGAACACATTCATGTTAAAGATCATCATTCCCTAAGACTCAAAATTTTAGTTTCACATTACCAGTAATCCATGCTGGTATTAAAGATTCCAATCTCCATACACACTCCAATATGTAGGCTGGAACAGGAAATAGAATTAAAGAAGAAACCAAACAGCCTACTATAGAATCAGGACCTTTCAGGATGTATCCATCAATCCTGTTATAGAGTACAAACAAAAAGTATTAGTTCTTTACTTTTCATGCAAGAAATCAAGAAAATTACTAAACATTTTTATTCCACCTCTGAAGTGGACATTAGGAAAACGAACTTGGATGCAGTCACTGGGAACTTGCAAAATTTTTGTGGTATCTTAATGCCCTATATTTTAGGAGGAGAATTTGCAAGGATTTTCTTTAAACAGTTATGCATGGGTCCTTTTAGTGTACAGGTTTTTCCTTCGGATGTGTTTGGCTCAGGCCATCGTGTTCCGAATCAAATTCCCAAATGAGCATATTTAACATACAATATTTACTCATCAGTATCTCATCGGGGAGAAACATGACCCTCTAGGAACAATCATAGCTTAAAGCAAAACATACGTATAAATGAACTGTATATTTTATGTGGTTTCTATAACACTTAATAATTAACTGAAGTTCATAGAAAATAATAATACTCATAAGACTAGAAAAAAGTCATTAGTGACAATAAAATTTTCATGATAAATTTTAAAAGAACAAAAAATGAAAGTGGTTATAGTAAGCAGAGATTCAAGAGGAAATGAGGGTGAAATTCAATATTAATGAGAATAGGACAGAATATAAAATAAAAATAAAAATGTAATAAAGGAAATAAAATGAAAACTGAAAAAAA